CCTACGGAAAATATTTTCGCAGCGTGCACCCCCCTTTTTCCCGTTTCAACCCCGATTTCATTGTTTTATCAAAGGAGAAGATGCAAACTAATGGTTATTGATACTTTTTTTGACAAAAAATAGATTTCGAGAAATTTTTACAATAAATTTAGTTAATCCTTAGCCCCGGATTGCCCCGCCTGGCCCCGTCTGGGGCCGCACCTACGCTGGGGCCGTGTGCTGACAGGGTACGTACATGCATCTAAACAAATTCAGGTATCTAATGTACAAACCTAAAATGGAAAGCGTACAAGGGACCTACAGTTCCCCCCTTTGGAGATAATTGAAAAATATCTGCGAAATAATTCAAAATGATAGGTTTAGAATTTACGAAAAATACATTTTGATAATTAGGTTTGAACATAACACATTCCGAGGTACCTACTAGTGCGGTTCCTCCACGTCGATGACCAATTTAGGTTGAATCGGTTGTTACCCGGATTTGTAGTAACCACCGCGCGTATTGAGGACGACGAGAATGGAAAACGCAATCACGGACGAAGTGAATGCACCCGAAAACAGCGAAAATAATGAAAATAACGATCGACAATTACAGAAAAATCAAGCTAATGAGCAGTCAGGCATTCCCCTCACTGGTGAGGCGGAGGAAGATGCGGAGGAATTGGTCGTCCTTCATCCAGATCACGTAATTAAACGCATTAAAGCTTTCTATGTTTTCAGCCTTTAATGCAACGTTTTCAAGAAGCATTAACGAAGATGCTTCAGGCGCATATATCTGAGGCTGCAATCGAGCTAAGAGAAAAGGTACGCTTACATGCATATTTTCATTTGTAAAGTCTGAAGAGCTGAAAAGGGAAAAGGCTGAGCATTTAGAACTTGGTTCGACTCTTTACAACGCTCAACAAGAATTATCAAGGTTCGTTTACTTTTTTATTCTGTATTTTATCCTCTGTTTGCGTTTACTTCATATCTCTGCCAGCACTATATTAATATTGTTCCCCGGGAATCTCCCCGTATTCCCCCGTCGCCTGTTTTGGCAGTGATGTTTGTAAAAATAGTTTTAAAATGTTCGTTATAATTGGATACCAACTTTTACAATTAACATAAATGGTCAGTATACCGTCACTGTACATTCAATTTCTAGTCCATGTGGCCTCTCATGTAACCCACTTTTGTGTACGGAAGTGTATAGCAGCCTAGAATCCACAATATACTTATAATTATTAAAAATAATATATGAAGTTGATGATTAAAAACCAATAGAAATTAGGTGCGGAAATTGCAGACATGAATAGGCAGGACCTAGAAAATGAAGTTTTGTGGTGACAGTTCTGGGCTGGCGCAGATAGTTTTATTTTGATGTCTCGGATTTACTGCTTTCCTAATATCTCTCAAATTTAATTCTGGGTGTATAAACAACGTACAGTAAATTTGTTGTTCACATTCTCTTAATGAGGGGCGGGGGATACTTAGACAAATTATATATTTAATATAATCGTCACATTTATCTAATTTTATCTAAATATACGTAAGCAGTATATGTCAAACCTGCATTTGTGATACTGCCTGTGGGCCATTGTTGCTTGTGAAGACTAAATCACTTGTTAAGTACGGGTACCAGACCGTTCTTTTCAACATTCCATGGGTTACGAGCTCGGACCTGAAGGATGCATTTTATTTTACTTTATGTCTTCTCTCATGATGCGCTTTTCAATGCAAAAAATCCGAGGATATTAAAAGAACGAAACTAATGTCCAAAATGATAGAAGGGTTAAAAAACAAAGCAGCTTGTTCCAGTTGTTTGCTTCCTTCTATACATTTAACCAACGACCAATAACTGCTTTTGAAATGACCAGTTGTTTATAACTTATCATTGCAATGTACTGAGTTTATTTATTGTTGTAGTATTTTACGTTTAAAATCCTTGCCCTTGCACAGATAGACTATTTTACTTTGCTTTCTAATTCAGAGATAAAAAAAGAGATCGCATCCTCCCGAATTAGACCGAGAAAATTCACAGTAACTTCTGAATGCAAAAGTCGTCTTTTTTTAAATTCACACAAATGAAATTACTTTCTGAATACTATAACTAAGGAAAAACATAGGACGTCAGAAGTCATATTTGAAGGGTGATATTGAGTGTTGATGGAAGGTGTTTTTTCCTTAATTTGCCCAGCACAGCAGATATTTTGTGTACTAACAAAGTTTTCTTTTATAATGATGAACTCCCTTCAGCTATAGCTCGTATGACTACTTTCGCATATTCCTTTCCGAATGCTTGAAAATGATAAAAGTGTTCAACTGGCGTTTGTAAAATTTATTAAGCAATTCAGTCTACAAAAATATGGCCATGTTTATGCATATAATTCCACCAATGTATTTGAAATATCAATAAAACGTTGATATCAGTGAATATATTGAAGTTTACTCGCATTTTGCACATGTTAAATATATGTTTGTATGTTTGCTTAAAATGTTTAAAAACAGTTCATGAAGATTAACAGGAATAGAGCATTCTTTGCAAACTGTTTCCATTTTTGCAAAATATTTCTACTAATGGTTACGGCGCTCAAATACTCCAATATTCTTTGACTACATAATTCGATCCCGTTATTCTCCCGCCAACAGGGGCAAACCCTTCATACGCTGTAAAATATTCCATTTATCACCATCCGGAGGTTGGTGAGTTTTTAGTAAACCCTTACTATCCTAACTGTCCTCACAGTTACGTTATTCATTGAAAATCCTCCTTCTACCACTGCAGTGCATTCTTTGCGGTCAGATTGCATTTTTAAATGTGGAAAAGAGTCATCAGCCAGTGGTATTATCTACCAGGCTCACCAAATAGCTGCTAAAAGGACAACTTAATTCGACCAGTTCCAACGAGCTACATGCTTTTACGAACGTAGTTTTTTTGCACAATTGACAAAGGTCCCAGCTCTGGGATATTTTTCTAAGATAGTCAAATACTGCGAGTGATACTCAGCCCCACGGGTAGTATGAGTATGATTATTCCTTTAATGGTAATGCAACCCGTCTCTGGAATTTGAACTGTATAACGAAGGAACCATCCCATGATGAAACTCCTTCGATTCAGTTCCATGGAATTCACGCTACCCAATCGAGAGTAACTGGTACATCCAGGGGCACACTGATACGCGATTTTTTAGTCATTAAGATGCTTCAGGGGTCGCTGTACGACATTCTGGGTATTATTTAAGTGTTCAAGCCCCATTTTTTCTGCCGAAATTTCCGTATCTGTAGAAATAAGAATTAGGTCTGAGCGTACTTTGCACTTTTACCTCCAATATTCTATACGGCTTTTCGACTCTCCCTAAAGCGCCGAAATGGCGTGACTCAATATGTTTTTTCGCCTGACGTTTCAAAATCCGTCGCGGATTCACCATCAGAGACGTACTCACAGAACAGTAGCCGAAAAAGTTTGTGTGTGCACAGGGTTCTGCGGTTAAATTTAAACGTACAGAAAAAACTCGACGATAAATGCCTTTGTGCGCTGATTCGTTGTGTCAGCAATGACCATCTGGCCTTGTGGTGTTGGCATAAGATGATGTGGTGGCCTGTGTGTTCCCCGAGTGGCGTTTTGCTTTGGCCAAATTTAGTCTCAGCACCAAATATGGATTAGACAAATCATTGCACTTGTTGATT